CTTGGCCATTTGGGCCGCCTCTTTCAGCTGGAGTTCCAGCCTCTTTAGGGATTCTCCTTTTGCCTCTTATGGGGGACCTAGGCCCCCCTAGTTTAGGAGGACGACCAACTCCCCAAGAGCAACCGGAGTTCCGAGCCTCCTCACCTCCTCAGAGACCAGCGGCCCACTTACACACACACCCCCCTCCACCCGATTCCAGAGCCAGAGTCCCTAACCTTCCTCCTGCCACGGGAGCCACCTTTTAGCATAGACTTAGGATGTTTGGCACTCGGCCTTCTCCTTCTCCATCTTTTCAGCTCCACGACTCAGAGCCATATTTGGAGTAGTGCTTCCAGGGGCTTTGCTGGGGACTTTGAACTGGAGGGAGGGGGAGTTGGGGGGGCTCAGGGACTAAGGCTGCAAGCTAAGGTCAGCAAACCTAATGTTTATTTAGCTGTCTCCCCTACCTTGTGGGGTGTTCGGGATGTTATCAGAGAATCAGAGTGCCTGACCCCTGAGAAGTCCCCACTAGCCTAGGTACTGATTTCCCTTCAGAACTGGGGCCTTTTTCCTCCCGATGGTGGCCAAGGGGGAGACCTTGGAAAGGGCCTCAGAGCCTGGATGGGAGGGCCAGAAAGAGTCTTTTAGTGTTCTTCATCTTCCCCTCTCTGGCGGGGTCTTCTCCACCCAGCTGCAGGGCTTTGGACAGGCTGAGTTTGGAAGCAGCGACTTTCCCTTTAAGAGGGGATGGAATGTTGGAGCCGGAAGGTTCTGTAGCAGCTGGCCTGGGAGGGGGAGCCTGGCCCATCCCCTCACAACCCCCCCCCCATAACTCCCAGGGGACTGGGGGAAGGGGAGGCCCCCAGGCTTGCCTGCCCCACACTAACTGGGCACTGGGCCTGGAGGCCTGTAGGGAAGGCCTTCCCGGGGCCCTCTAGGCCTAAAGGCTGTCTCTCCTGCCCTAGCCTGAGGCCTGCACTGCTCTTTGGAGCTGAGGCCCCAGAGCTGAGTGAGGGGAGATGTTCTCTTCCCCGGTGTTGATATTTCTGGCTTCTCTTCCAAGACCCCTGCCCTCCTGGCCCTGGAAAGCAAGCATCTTCTCTCTCTTCTGCCTAGCATGTTTTGCTGTCACCTTTCCCCATGGAACTCAGGGTTTGATGAGCCCATGAGATCCTATGTGTGAGAACGCTTTGTGCAGTGGGAAGTGCTATGCAGCTTCTGACCCGTCCTGTTTCTGTTGTTGTTCCTACCCTGGGGTGAGGTACTTGTAGTGTAGTAATCATTGTCTGGCTTTAGTCCAGGGACAGACACTCCTGATTGGAAGATTCTGAAGAGGGATCGATCTGCAAGGGGTGAGAGTGAGGGGGCAGATGCTTTGGTCTGGTAAGAGAAAAACAAAGCTGGAAGAGACCAAGATGCTGCCACAGGGTATGGGATAGGGGAAATCAGTTAGAGTCCAGTGTGCTGGGGTCATTTGCCTTAAGGGACTAGGGTAGGCCTGTGTCTCCACTCCCAACTCACCCCTGAACCCACTGGGCTTAGCTCCCACCTCCTAAACCTAGACCTCTCTGGGCTGCCTCCCACTCCGCCCAGGCTGCTATCAAGCCAGGCCTAACTACAATCATAGTTACATCTGCTCACTGTTGACTTAATACTATTCTTTAAATCCACTGTCAGCCCACTCACTCCTTCTTAGCTTGACCCAGTCAGTAATATGAAATCACAGGTCTGATTTTCTATTTGTATTTCTTTCTAAAATATGTTAAAAAAAAATACTTAACTATTGCATTAAATATTCATCAGGTACACCTGAAGTGATCTTGCATACATTAGTTGTACTTGAACCATCGTTTGCAAAATGTTATAGTAGACTGTTTTAACAGAGTTGAGAACAAAGCTAAAGGAGGAGATTGGTTTTGTTTTTATCCCCAGAAGGATTAATGAGCAGGAGACGTGGTAGGGCTGTCTTGTCACAGGACTAGTAGCTAAGAAGTATATATTTATTTCATGTATTTCACAAATTCTTTTTATGGTACTTTGGTATACATGCACTGATCTAAATGCTTTTCAAATCTTTATTTACTCAATCATCTTAACAGCCCTATGAAATAAGTAGTAATATCCTCAGTTTTTACATGAAAAAACTAGAGCACAGAAAACTTAAGTAATTTACCCAAGGTCACATAGCTGGTAAGTGGCAGAGCTTGATTTTACATCAGGAATCTGGCTCCAAAGTCTAAGACCTTAATCACACAATTGTAGGTATTATTATCACTGTTTAACAGACACATCCTCTCCAAAGGAGATGCTGAGCCTTGGCAAACTGTAGAGATGATAGGGTTGCCACTTATCCTAGCCCCATGAGACCAGGGTCGGGCAGAGGCCAGCAACCTCTGCTGACAGATGGAGAGTGGGTCAGAGGAGGAAGGCTGCTCTCCAGGCTCAGCCTCTAAGGTTCTGGCTTATAAGGCCTGAGGACTCCCCAACTCCCATCTGGTCTCCAGAAGTATTTGTCAAGCTAGGGTAGGCCCAACCCTCTTAAATTACTTGGATAATGGAGGAAGAATAAACATTTTCACCACTGAGGGAGATGGTGGATGAATATTAGAGTGGCCTTGAGCTGTAGGTAGGAGCAACATGGGAAGTTGGGCCACTATGTTCCTGCCCACTCCATGTCACACACTGCCTTGCCTCTGCACTTGGTACTGAGAGCACACTCCTCTTGTCTTCCCGGGGCCAAATTTTCCCATCCTCTGGGTTTAGCTTTTAAAGTTATGACACTTTATCCTGTTTACCCTTATACCAATCCAGCTCCTAGCCAGGACATGACACCAAAGACAGCTACTCAACAGACATCTGTCCAACGAACACATCTGCTGCTCTTGTGGTTCTGACTACTTCCCACTTGCCATATACTTGTGTGAATTGTCCGTTGGGCCATAACCTCCAAGGACAAGGCAGGCTCTTAGTCTGATGCTTCTTGAGGTTTTATACAATGGCCAGCATAGGATTTAAAACCTGCTGGGCTCTTAGCAAAGGCTTTTTAATTGAATGGACAAAAGTGAGCATATTTGTTTGGTCCCTGCCCTTAGAAATTTACACATAGTTGGAAAGAAAGAATAGACCCTGCTAAAAATTGACACGGTTAGTAATTAGCTTTTATTGTAATCCTAGACCATGCCAGGCGTTTACAAATCCCACTTACCAGGACAAGACAAAGGCTTGGAAAAGTTAAGAAACTTCTCTGAGATAGGAGGGCTAATAAGTGGCAGAATTAGAACCCAGATTTGTCCAACTCTGCTTGGAGTGTGTGTGTGTGTGTGTGTGTGTGTGTATGTGTGTGTGTGTGTGTGTGTGTGTGTGTGGCATGGAACTCTGAACCATTCATCTCCGTGGTGTGAGGGGGAGGCTTGTCTGAGGTCCCCCAAGGCTGCTGCTGAAGATCAGCTGATCCTTGTGAGTCAGCAGAGCCTTGGCGACCTGTCGGTGACCCCTAGAAAGAGAGGAAACATCTGTAGCGTGGAGCTGTGTGGTGGGGCCTGCTGGGGGAGTGAGTGGTGGGGACTCAGCAGCAGTTTCCCACTACAGGGAGACCCTCTCCAGAGCAGGTCATAGTCTCTGCCATTTGGCCCACATACCCCATTTTCCTGTGAGTCCCAGTTCCCCTTGTGGGCTGCAAGTTTAGGGTACCCTATGGCCAGACTGGCTGGTGAGTCTGAGCTACTTCCATGTCCCTTCTTTTCAGCATGTTCTGTCTCTAGGCTTTCTGGCATCATGGGCCTGACTTGTGATGCTTTCTTGGGGTCTTTGTGGGGTTGGAAATGGTGTAGGAGCCAGAGCTGGATGGGAGGGAGAAGGGCAGGCTCAGTCTTCAAACTTGGCTGTGAGTCCAAGAATGTGAGCATCACAAGGAGCCAGGCATGTTCCCAGCTCTAGGCAGAAGCTGCTCCAAGAACAAGGAAGGACTAGGCTTCCCAGCCTCCTTCCTTGCTATCTTCCCTCTCTGCTCACATGTCTTCCTCTTGCCATTGATGGCATCTTTCCAACTCTGTACTCCTAGGGTGTTTGACACAGTCTGGGGGTCCCCAAACTGTAGTCATAGTCTGACTTCTCACCTTGATGCACCCCTCAAGCCAGACTACATGCCTGTATACACATCCCACCCCTGCCATGCCCCACATCCCTGTCTCCCCAACCCTTACCCACCACAGATCCACATCACCTCTCACTGTACAGGAAAGAATGCGAAGTACCGTGGGAAGAGCATGGGTTTTAGAGTCAGGCAAGCTTGGGGTTGAATTTTAGTTCTGACGTCTTTCTGCTCTGTGGCCCTGGGCAAGTTACTGAATGTTTCTCCATTTCTTTACTCAAAAAGAGGATATTGTCCACACAATGAAGGTGATGTGAAGATTATACATTCTAACTATAGGGAGATAAGATGGTGTAATAGGTAAGAATAAAGGCTAAAGAGTCAGGCTGACCAGGATTCAAATTCCAGCTCTTCTTGGTGATGTGACTGTAAGTGAATTTCTGAACCTACTAAGTCTTAATTTCCCCATCTGTATCTATCTCAGCATTGCAGTGAGTATTAAATGAAATGAAATAAGCAAAGTGCTTAGCTTAGTGCTTGGCCCATGATACATGCCCAGTAAATGAGAGCAATTTGTTGCTATTACCATAGTGGCAGTGGAGGATGTTCAGTAAATACCTTTTTCCCTTCTCTTTCCTAATTTCCTTAAACTCCTCATCCACACCTTCCAGAAGAATGTCAGGATTCCCAACTAAGAAGGGAAAGAGAAATAAGGGTGTACTTTTTCCTAGCTTAGGGTCAGAGGGAAAGAATAGGTCTAGCCCAAAAGAGCTATGTTGGGGCTAGGTAAAGCCCTTTCGAGATTTTAGGGAATGGCCACACTAGGGGGGACAGCAATTTGTCAGGTGTAATTTGCAATCACCTGATGACTGAGAGGACACTCTAGGGCAGCAGCTGGCCTGGGCAGGGCTGTCCTTGGGTGACCCCCACTTCTGCTCCCATTTGAAAGGCTTAGGCTGGTGGTTTGATTCCCAGGTTAGGGTGGAGGACCCCCTGAGTTAGGATTGTGAGGACACTTCCATTTCCACCCCAGAAAGCTCATTCTGACACCCCCACCCTTTCCCTGCAGAGTGGTGAAGGAGGAAATCTCTGACGACAATGCCAAGCTGCCCTGCTTCAATGGCCGCGTGGTGTCCTGGGTAAGGAGCTCTCCTCAGCAACCCCTCCTCCTATATTCCTATGGTGGGCTGGACAGAGGAAAAGCATTGCTAAGATTGTAGCTGGTGGTTTTATGCTTCAATATCTGAATCTTCCTTGAGTTTTCTACCTGAACTGTTTCTCCCCTCAGATTATGTAGCCTTGGTGAAAGGTTAGTTGGCCGGGGGTAAGGGGAAATGTGGGACATTGTAGGACAATGTCTCCTATGCCTTTTGAAGCACTTTGCCTCAGATTCCAGCCAACCTCTCTTTTGGACCACTGACCCTTGTTCCCTGCCCCCATGCCACTTCCAACAACCCATGCCTCCCATCCCCCCATCAGTGCTGGCAGCACTGAGTCCATTCCTTCCCTCAGCTGACCTTGCACAGTCCTGTCTCTTCTTCCTCCATGTCCCCTGCTTCATTCTCCCCAAGTCTGCATGCCCTTCGAGAAGCCATCTGCTATTTCCCTGGCGCCCCTGTACCTACTACCCACCCATTCTTTCCCCATCAGTTGGTGTCTGCTGAGGGTTCACACCCAGAGCCTGCTCCCTTCTGTGCTGACAACCCATCGGAACTGCCACCACCCATGGAACGCACAGGAGGCATTGGGGACTCCCGGCCCCCATCCTTCCAGTAAGTGTGACCTCAGAGTGGAGAGGGCCCTTGGGGAAGGGCCGCATCAGCTCAGCCCAGGGCTGGGGGAGGGAGCCCCCAGCCCTGCCCCCTCTCCCACCAAGTCTTCTCTTCCCTGCAGCCCTCATGCTGGTGGAGGCAGCCAGGAGAACTTGGACAATGACACAGAGACAGACTCCTTGGTGTCAGCCCAGCGTGAGCGGCCACGCAGGAGGGACGGCCCAGAACACAGTGCGTCTTCCCTAAACAGACGCCTTCTCCACTCCTCCATTCAGCTGCCCTCAGCCCTGTTCTGAGCTCTGGATATGCCTAGCCCCGGTGCAGCCCCTAGCCCCTCCCTGTGTCTGTCCTTCCCTCCTGCATTGACACTGTGAACCCAGCTGCCTCTATTCCCTACAGCAACCCGGCTAAATGGAACTGCAAAGGGGGAGCGGCGGCGAGAGCCAGGGGGTTACGATAGCTCATCCACCCTTATGAGCAGCGAGTTAGAGACCACCAGCTTCTTTGATTCGGATGAGGATGACTCCACCAGCAGGTGGGGCTTTGGTTTCATTGGTACTATGGGGCAGGTGACCGCCCCTCCAAGAGCCCTGACCCCTAAGGATGCTGGGACCCTGGGAGGGCTGTGGGCTTTGCGTGGGGGACTTGGGCCCTGCAGTGCCTCTTGTGGGGCAGGGCTGGGCCAGCCTGGTGGGGAACGACTGTGGGCCCCCCAGGTTCAGCAGCTCCACAGAGCAGAGCAGCGCCTCACGCCTGATGAGAAGACATAAGCGGCGGCGGAGGAAGCAGAAGGTTTCGCGGATTGAGCGGGTATGGGGCCTGAGATGCCAGGGATGGGTGGGGGCAGACTGAGCCCTGTCCAGGCATTTCCAGGGTGTGTGCTTCCTTAGACCCCCTCCTATTGGGCCAGGCTTAGAGGCTTAGAGGGGAGGGGGTACTGAAGGCTCCCCTTGAGGAAGAGCTAGGTGGGAACAGTGAGTTCTTGGGACCCCTACCTGCTGCTCAAGGCCTCTATCTATTCCAGTCCTCGTCCTTCAGCAGCATCACGGACTCCACCATGTCACTCAACATCATCACAGTCACTCTCAACATGGGTGAGTCTGGTGAAACAACTCTTGAACATTTATATACCAGACACAGGGCAAACTTGAGGTCAGAGAGGCATAAGATACATTCCCTGCCCCCGAGGAGCTCTCTCATAAACATAAACTGGTACATAAACTGATCGTTTCAGTATCTCATGATCAGGGCCGTGACAGAGATCAGCACAGAGAGTTGTAGAAGCAGAGAATGGCAAGGAAGGCTTCCTGGAGGAAGTGATTTCTAATTCTTATCCCCCTTCCCATTTTTCAGCCATTGCTTGTTGCTCTCTGATGTCTGTCATAGGCACTCTCTTTAGGAAATAACTGGCTATAGTTATTCCCAACCTTGGAATTTAAGCCTGAGTTTGAATCCTGCCACGTAATGGCTTAGAAAAGTCATTGAAGCTCTCTGAACCTCAGTTGCCTGTTTTGTAAAATGGGACTAAGAGTCCCTGTGGCAGAACTAACAAGGATTAAATGGAAATATTCTTGACCATCCTGAACACAGGACCTGATTCAGGTTCAATGAATGTTAGTTCCCATCCCTTTCCACCCTTTACTAATAAAGGGCTTGGAATTTAGGTAGGAACCTTGTTCCCCTCTTAAGGTCTTATTACTCTCTATAGAAAAGTACAACTTTTTGGGCATCTCCATTGTGGGCCAAAGCAACGAGCGTGGTGATGGAGGCATCTACATCGGCTCTATCATGAAGGGTGGGGCTGTGGCTGCAGATGGACGCATCGAGCCAGGAGATATGCTGTTACAGGTACCACTGCCCACCCGGCGTGGCGGTGTGGGTGGGGAGAAGGGAGATATTCCTACCCTCTGTACCCTGCTCATTTAGAGGCCACTTCTTGGTAGGGGGAAGACCTCCTGATCCACCAAGCTCTGCTTCCCTACCCACCTCCCCAACCCAGCTGCTTATCCCACTCCTGGCCCTCTCTCCCAGGTAAACGAGATCAACTTTGAGAACATGAGTAATGACGACGCAGTCCGGGTACTGCGGGAGATTGTGCACAAACCGGGGTACGGATGGGATGGGATGTTGGGAAGGAGGGGGCAGGCATTTCTGATTCTCAAGCAAGGGGGTTGGTCTGGCCTCCACACATCCTGCCCTCACTAGGGTCATCCTTGCTTTCAGGCCAATCACCCTGACTGTAGCCAAGTGCTGGGACCCAAGTCCACGTGGTTGCTTCACACTGCCCAGGAGTAAGTGGATGGGGGACTCAGCCCTAAAGCCGGTGCTTGGCATACATGAGCCCCCTGTCTCTCCTTCCTTCTGTGTTGCCTTGAGCCCTCATACCTACCCTGTTGGGCCTGGCAGTGGACAGGGTAGGTGGCCCCTGACCTCTCATCCTCCCTGCAGGTGAGCCCATCCGGCCCATTGACCCTGCCGCCTGGGTCTCCCACACTGCAGCCATGACCGGCACCTTCCCTGCCTATGGCATGAGCCCCTCCCTGAGCACCATCACCTCCACCAGCTCTTCCATCACCAGCTCCATCCCTGATACAGAACGTGAGTGTCCAGCCCTGCCCCCTAGGCCCAGCCAGATGGGGCAAGGTGGGAGGGACTGATGAAGGCCCACGTGGAAACTCTTGCTTAAAAGTGAGAGGGAGGGGCGCCTGGGTGGCGCTGTCGGTTAAGCGTCCGACTTCAGCCAGGTCACGATCTCGCGGTCCGTGAGTTCGAGCCCTGCGTCAGGCTCTGGGTTGATGGCTCAGAGCCTGGAGCCTGTTTCCGATTCTGTGTCTCCCTCTCTCTCTGCCCCTCCCCCGTTCATGCTCTGTCTCTCTCTGTCCCCAAAATAAATAAAAACGTTGAAAAAAAAATGAAAAAAAAAAAGTGAGAGGGAGCTGGGAGTTCATCCTAGCTACCTCACACTGCAGCTTCCTTCAGTGGACACCTAACCCTCACTAAACAGTGTTTGCTTCTGGACCTGTATTGAGCATCCAGTGAGCCTGTTTCCTCTAGTAAAACAGGACTAATGATACATAGTCTACCAGGTTCCTGGGGGTTTAATGAGAGAATATAAGTGAAGCCTCAACCACAATATGTGGCATGAAGTAAGCACTCAATAAATGACTGCTGTTTTCATTATAATACACATATTCTATGCTAAGCATCTTCATTTATATTATTTCTCTCTTCAGATATACTCTTCGAAATAGATATTAAAGTCCCTATTTTTACAGAGGAAACTGAGTGTCCTAGAAATCAGTAATGTGCCCAACATTGGTCCACAATTATTAGATGGTAGAGCTGCGATGCAAATTCTTCTCTACCTAACTCTATAACCCCTTTCTGCCTCACCATTCTGCCTCCCACCCCTAGGCCTAGACGACTTCCACCTATCCATCCACAGTGACATGGCCGCCATCGTAAAAGCCATGGCCTCCCCTGAATCTGGGCTGGAGGTCCGTGACCGCATGTGGCTCAAGATTACCATCCCCAACGCTTTCATCGGTGAGAGGGCCCCATGGTGGGATGAAGGCCGGGGTGGGGAGTGATGGTGCAGGGCAGGCTGGGGGCTAAAGTGGCCCTCGGGCCACTCCTTTGAGCTAGAACCAGCCCCAGCCTCATGGCTCTTGTGAGGTCAGATGAGCCCAAGTCAGGTGGGCCTCCCCATCAAGTGGCTGCCTTGCCTCCAGGCTCAGATGTGGTGGACTGGCTGTACCACAACGTGGAAGGCTTCACTGACCGGCGAGAGGCCCGCAAATATGCCAGCAACCTGCTGAAAGCCGGCTTCATCCGCCACACTGTCAACAAGATCACCTTCTCCGAGCAGTGCTACTACATCTTCGGTGACCTCTGTGGCAGTATGTGCCTCCCCCACCTCCTTGCTCTGTCTCCTGGCTGGGAGTGGGGAGGTGCCCAGGGATGTGGCAGCAGACTCCAGGGAACCCACACAAAGCGTGAGCAGGCAGCTGAGCTGGGGGCCCAACTCAAGGCCTGACACAGGCCTCCCTCTCTAGTAGAAGCAGAGCCAAGTCAGGCCTTTTCACCTTCTCTGCATCCCCTCTTGGGGCTGGCATTTTCTAAGTGCCTGATGTGTTTCTGGCACCATGCTGGTTGTTTCTAAGCAGCATATCACTCTCAGTCCTCACAACCTCCACCTCCTCACCCTTGGGTGAGGTGGATCACTATCCCTATTTTAGCTGAGGAAACCGAGACTTAGAGATGTTAGATAGTCCACCCATTCTCACAGCCAGAAGCAGAGTTAGGCCTTGGGGATCCAGGTCTTTCTGGCTCCAGAGTCCTCATTTTTACCACCATCTGGGGCTACCTAGGTGTGTGGTATTGCAGAAACATTGTCTTAGCAAAGTCAAATGCAGATCCTCCTGTTGGCCCCCGATCAGCCTCTAAGTATCAAGCAGGTTCCACCAGGGCAAGACCTAGGGCTGCCTTGAGGCCCCACATCCCCAGCCTCTTCATACCCTTGAGGCTAGGCTGGACCTTGGGACAAAACTGGAAAAGCTGTCAGGGCCAGCTTGTAGAGGACTCTGCAAGCTGCATTGAGCAGTTTGGACTTGATCCTGAGAGAGTGCAAAGCCAGTGAGGGTTTTTAAGGAGGAGAGGTCTCAGGGAAACCCCCCCCCCCCCCACTTCTCCTCCTGAGCACATAGACACACCTTGGGAAGGAAGGGGAGTTCTCAAAACAGGACATTTCAGGACTTGGAGCATTCCCAGCAGCCACCTCTGCCTCAGGGAGCCTTTTATCAGCCAAGGGTGCTTGCTGGCTGGAGTCCAAAAGCTAACCATTGTGTGTTGTTTTTTATTTTTGTTTTTTTTAAGTTTATTTATTTCTTTTGGGAGAGAGTGAGAGAGAACAAGTAGGGGAAGGGCAGAGAGAGAGGGAGAGAGAAAATCCCAAGCAGGCTCCGCACTATCAGCGCGGAGCCCGATGTGGGGCTCAAACCCACAAACTGCAAGATCATGACCTGAGCTGAAGCCGAGAGTCAGATGTTTAACTGACTAAGACACCCAGGTGCCCCCAAAAGCTAACTTTTAAAATGCTTCAGATTAGGTTCTAGGATTAGAAAGGCTGTTGCTGCAGAGCACAAGTCTGTGGTGGATGCATAGGGTTTTAGAGTTGGATAGCTCTGAGTTCAAATCCTAACTCCGCCCTGACTATGTAGACATGAGTAAGTGACACTGCCTCTCATTGTCTCAATTCCTTGATCTGTAATTTGGAGGTAATAGTAGAACCTATTTTAGAGCTGTTTTGAGGTTAAGACAATGTGTATAATGCTTTTAGCACCATGTTTGTCCCACTGTAAGTGCTCTTAAAAAAAGTTCTCCATTTTTCATATATTTAATTGATTCTAAGGTGAACATTTTTTTCACATTGCAATATCTCTAAAGTTGGGGTACACCTTAATATTAATGGCTTCTTAGACTCAATTCTATATGGTTATTATCACCATCATTAGCAGAAGTGAGGCCTAGCCCCAAACGTCTAGGGACACCTAAAGCTTCTCAAGACAGCTGTAGTTTTTGCTCAAGAGATGTTGTTCTATCCCTGGGCCTCCTGGGTCTTCTTTCTACCCATGGGCCAAGGCCCCCAGAGGCCGAGTTCAGGGATATGCTAACAGAGGTCTTTTTCTTCTCACTGGCCAAGGTCTCCTCAGCTGGGAATGTGGCAGACTCAAAGGAAAGAGTTGGTGACCTGGGTAGCCAGCCCCAGGAGTCCACAGTTAACTCCCCTCAGGACAACAACCTGGAGGCTGAAATAGTCACCAGCTCTTGGGGCATGAGCCAAGGCAGGCCCTTGCTTCTCACCAACCCCCACCCCCAGCCCCGTGCTAGCTGCAGGCCTTAACAGGTCGATGGCTTAGCTGGTAGACTCCACAGACTGCCTCAGCCCCCTCAGATTCCCCTCTCCTGACCAGGTCACATTAATACATTGAGATGAGTGCTGTGAAGAATGAGGCCTCCCTGGGGATAGAGTGGAGGGCACAGAGGAGGCACCTAAGTTGTTCTCTTTCTGAGCCCTTCCCACCTTCTCCAGCAGCACCAGAAAATTTATCTGGGCCAAGGGCTTTTGTATAGGGAGAATCTGAAAGGCCTATGTTCTTTCTGGCCTATAATGGGTACTTTTTTTTAGTCCTAGGTGAAAGGAGAGGGCAAAATTTCACCTAAATTTCCCCAAACTGTTCCCTACTCCTTACTAATGACTCATCTGGAAAGGTAAGAAGAAAGGAAGCAACTCTTAGCTTCTGCTCTGGCTACAATTTGGATTGACCTCAGGCCAGTCATTTAACCTCCCTGGACTTCACTTTCCTCATCTGGAAAAAATGTGATAACATTTGCATGAGGTGAAGTGCTTTGTATTGTGCCTAATGAATCGCAGGTATGCAATACCTGTCTGGTATTTCAGCTTCCCACATTCCCCTACCTTTACCATCTAAGTGAACAAAGGAGAAAATTACCAATTAAAAGTTATGCTCCTTGTGGCCCACTAAGGAAGGAGGAGAAACTGTCAAACGCTTGGAAGGGGGCCTCCCTGAGACTGGGAGTTGAGCGTAAGGATTTGGCACTGAGCATCTGAAGTGGTGACTCAGGGCCCTCCTGAGGAGGGTTTTCCTTGGGGCTGTGTCCATAGGGTCTCCCTCTCCACCATCTAGGTGGGTGGCAGAGGGGGTGTGAAGAAGTGAGAGATCTCTGACCTATGCCTCCTCTCATTTGGGGGACAAACTACCACTGCTGTTGGTGTCATCGCAAATGTACCCACCCTACCTAGACTGGGGGACCTTTCTCTCCTGACCTAGGGGCATGACCCAGCTCATCTGGCCCTCCCCTCCCCTCTGCAGACATGGCCAACCTGTCCCTCCATGATCACGATGGCTCCAGCGGCGCCTCTGACCAGGACACGCTGGCCCCTTTGCCACACCCAGGGGCAGCCCCTTGGCCCATGGCTTTCCCTTACCAGTACCCGCCGCCCCCGCACCCCTACAACCCTCACCCAGGCTTCCCAGAGCTGGGGTACAGCTATGGTGGGGGCAGCGCCAGCAGTCAGCACAGTGAAGGTAAGGCATGGGGCTTGGGGGTGGGGGGTGCACAGATGAGCCCCAAGCTTCTGCAAGATCTGAGCATCCCCCATCCTGTCCCTGCCTGTCCCCTACAGGCAGCCGGAGCAGTGGCTCCAACCGTAGCGGCAGTGACCGACGGAAGGAGAAGGACCCGAAGGCGGGGGACTCAAAGTCTGGCGGCAGCGGCAGCGAGTCGGACCACACAACCCGCAGCAGCCTGCGGGGGCCGCGGGAGCGGGCGCCCAGCGAGCGCTCAGGTCCTGCCGCCAGCGAGCATAGCCACCGCAGCCACCACTCAATGGCCAGCAGCCTGCGCAGTCACCACACGCACCCGAGCTACGGCCCCCCTGGCGTGCCCCCTCTCTACGGTCCCCCCATGCTGATGATGCCCCCTCCGCCCGCTGCCATGGGGCCCCCAGGAGCCCCTCCGGGTCGCGACCTGGCCTCCGTGCCCCCCGAACTGACAGCCAGCAGACAGTCCTTCCGCATGGCCATGGGAAACCCCAGTGAGTTCTTTGTGGATGTGATGTGAACAGGACCCCTCCCCCACGTCCATCCCACTCCCACCCCTGGGCGGTTGCGTCCCTCTCTCCATCCGTCCGTCTTTTTTACTTTGTCTGGTACCTGAAAGGGAAATAAATTGAACTAAATTCAGGCGCGCTAACTGCTCGCTGGGCGCAGCGAGGGCGGGGTGCACCCACCGATCGCCACTGCGGCCCCTAACCTGCCATCAGCCCCAGCTTGTCCCTCTGCTCGACTAACTGCTGCCTAGGACTTGCCAGGATCCTTCGTGTCACTGGGACCTGACTTGCTGGTGCTGCTCCTTATTCCCCACAAACACTTCAGGAGTTACCCCAGTGGTGCCCTTGAGGCCCTGCTCACCCCCTTCTCCCCGCCTTTTCCCCCCGCAGCAACCTTGCACTGTTCAGTCAGCTACATCAGCCCTCTATTAACTGCATCTCCTCAAGCATGTGTGCCAATCTCTTGACTTTCCCCCCACAATACTGACACCAAAAAATATTTGCTCCATTTTTTCCTCTTCCTAACTGCCCACCCCACCCCCATCGCTGCCCCAGTCCTGCACCCTAGAGCTATAGTCACTTATAATAACCATCCACACGATCCCTGCCTTTGCTGGCCTTCACTAGAGGCCCAAAGGACCCCCTTAGTTGCCTGAGCTGCTAGTGGCTTTCAGGAAACATATCTGTTCTACCCCTACATCCACACCCCCATGCCTGCCCTGTGTGCTGGTTCCTTCCGACCCCTAACCCTACTAACCAGCAGGCTCATCTCACCTCTGGGCCTGAAACATTTCTTTTCTTTCTTTTTTCTTCCCTCAATTTTTCCTGGGCCTGGAGCAGCCAAGAATTTCGGGCTGTTTGACTTTCTGTGAGCCCCCATCAAGGGGAGGCCCAGCCTCCGAGGAGACCCGGAACCCTGCTTCAGCAGCCCCTCAGGGCTTCCCAAGGATGTTCAGCCCCCAAACCCACACTTCAACATGTTGAGTCACTAGGCTTTGTTGGAGGGTTCCAGCCTCTCACCCATGTATGAGAGACTGTTCCCCTTTCCACAGAGTGCCCATCCCACTCTCCCTTTCTCACTCTCTCACTCTCTCTCTCGCCCTCTCTCCTTCTCTCTCACACGCACACATACATACGCAAACACATACACATACACGTGTCTATGCCAGTTCACTTAAGCCTCAGGGCTGGTCCCTGCTCAGAGGGCTGGACCTTCTCTCTGAAGTTGTGGGGCTGGTCCCCTGACTTCCCTCTCCCCAAACCATCCACACATGTCCCCATCATCTTCCTACCTGGATAAAGCCCATAAGCTGGATCTCAGGTCAGGCTCAGCAGAGGACTCCGTAAGCAACTGACAGGCTGTTCTCACCCCACTTCCTACCCCAACACCCTTATTTCACAATAACCATGATACCCCAGAGAAAGGTTGGGCAGGGGGTCTTCTGGGACCTCTAAAATGCCGGGTTTTATTTTTTACCTTATTCTACAGTTTAAACAAATCATGATCTCTTTAAGCCTCTTCTATAAATTCTCCTGGCTCACCTAAGCTTCCATACTTTTAGGACTGAGGTGTCAAGAGTACAACTAAGTCTTAAGCTCCAGGCTTTGGGGCAAACCAGGGTAGGGACATTTTAACAAATACTTCTGGAGTTTTTGGTGCATAAGGGCTGTGCTGGAAGTGTGACTCAGTCTTGCCTGCCTTCCAGGAGCCCAGGCCACAGCTTTCTGTAGCCACCACTATAGGGCTGCCTCCTATACTTCTTTAACTTTTCTGACTCTGCCATGTTCAACTCCCTTGAGAATTCCTCCAGTATTGCTCATGCCTTCAATGTTGGTGCTCCTTGTGTTCTTTGGTTCACTTCTCTTTCCTCTGTATTTACTCGCCAAATGGTGTCACCTATACTGATGTCCTCAATTGCCATTGATATGCTGGTGATTCTAAAACATGTATCTTCAGCCCCAACTTCCCTCCAAATTTTGGATCTGTATCATCACCCACTGGACATCACCATGGACATATCCATATGGACTCAACTCATTCCCCCATCAAGTGTGTTCCTCCTGAATTCCAATCCTGGTTATCTTCATCACACTGTATGTAGGCTAACCAGCTAGGAACAGTTATGGGCTTAAATTCTTCCCCCTATCTTTCTAGTCAGCATATCATATCCATTACACCCCAGCAATCTTTCTTGAATATGGTCCTTCCTCTCCCCTCTGCCTCTACTCTAATTCACAGGAGCATGGGATTTGGAGTCAGATTGTTCTGGGTTTGAATCCCAGCTCTACTACTTTTTGGTTTCATGATAAGAGAGTTATTTAATCTCTCTGAGCCTCAATTCCCTCATGTAAAATGACGATAATAATACCTACCTCACAGGGTTGTTGTGAGGATTTAAATTAGATATTGTACGAAAAGTGCCTAGCACAGTGCCTGGCACATAGTAGAATAGGTGCTCAATAAATGGTAGCTATTATTATTATTATTATTATTATTATTATTATTATTTACTCTAAATTGGTAGGGCATGTATTGAAGATAGAGCTTTTGGAAAGGTAGCAGTGAAGCCTTGAGTGCTGGTTCAAGAGTTAGAAATGCCCATATTTGATCATTTAAGAGGTTCAGACTGTGACCACGGTTTGAGGGAGGCTAGATCTTCATCCTGCCACATCCTGACTTCTAGCAGGACAATGCTAGGGATAATAGGGTTTTCAACCAGGTTTGCCCTTTTTTGCCCTTCTTCCCATAATAGGCTCAGCTACAGGGAAGGCAGCAGGGTATCTCTCCCTGTTGAGAAGAGCTAACAGATTTTATTTAGGTCCTGCGAAAGCCAAGAAGGCCTTTCATGTTTGAGGGTTGGCTCTGTCTCTTCTTCTCAGCTTGGATGTGAGGATTAACTCTTCAGAGAGGGCATTTCAAATTCCATGTCCAATTAAATTAAACTTGCCAACGTTTTTTTAAGCAACATATATGTCAGTCACTAGAAAGCACACAGGTCCTGGCCTTGAGGGGTCACATAGGTGTGCATAGCTGGGATAGAACAAACATTCTTGAAAAGCTTTGGCTAGTTTCTTACAAGTATTTGCCTCCTCGCTCCCTACCCTTTTCCTTGGGTCTTGATCCCTGGGAAAAGGCTCAAGTCTAGTACAAATATTTGATGAAAGAATCTTGGGAGAATCAGAGGTGGTGTTAGAAAGCAGTGAATTCAGACAAATACTTCTGCCAAGTCGTGTGTGTGTGTGTGTGTGTGTGTGTGTGTGTGTGTGTGTGTGTGAATTGAACACAGCCAGTCCTCGGACTCCGGAGACAGAAAAGGCCTACAGCAATCTGAGGCTTAACAGATGGGCTTCAACAAATGGCATTAATCCTCAGAGGCTCTCCATAAACACTGAACTAGGAACAGGAGGGATTCCAGACTACAATTCCCAGAATGCTCAGTGGGGAAAATGAAGGGAGTGGAGCAGCGTATGATGGGATGTGTATTTCGTGTAGGGCTGAATAAGGCCTCTCCTATCCCTCCCCAAGGCACTCCTACCCCGCCGAAGGCAGTCGGTCGTTGTAGTTTTGTTAAACCTAGGAAGCTTAAAATTGTAAGCAAAAAGGAGGAGAGGTTTGACGGGATTTGTAGTCGGCACGGTCTTCCGACGCGCAAGCGCAACTGTGGTTGGGGCGGGGCCGGGGCACTGCAGTGAAAGCCGAGGCAGCGGGCAGGCGAGCAGGGGGCGGGCGGACATCTTGGGATCTGGAGAGTGGCCGGGCAGGCTGAGAAGGGGGCCGCGGACACCAGGTGAGCTGGGGATCTGGCCAAGGGTAAGGGAGGATGCCTACCCCGCTGCCCAGCTTTGCCCTTCCCTGCACTACGCTACGCGGAAAGCTGCCCACACCCGGGAGTGGCCTCAGCCTTCAGATCGGGAGGGAGCTGACGGCTGGGCGGGGGCGCCTGGGGCGCGGTTGCAGGACAGGCTGGGAGCGGCGCCCTCCACCTGACCCGTCCGGAGCCTCCCGTGAGAGGGATACTTACTGGAATCCTTCCAGAGCCGGGACTCCGCGCGGCGACCCCCTCCCCGGGATCGTGACAACCTCCCTGCCCCTTGGCGCCTCCTCTCAACGCAAGGACAATTCCCCCATCTCCTAGGACTGTGACACCCCCTTGTGGGCTTCTTCTGGGACTGTGACAAGTCTCCCACCCTGCGGCACCCCCTCCCCCCAGTTGAGTGACACCCCGCGGCTCTTTTTTCTCAGACCTGTGACAGCCCCCGCACCCCCGTGGAGCCATATTTTTTTCCGCGATGTCTTCCTCCCCAGGGCGAAAAACCCATCAGCCCGTCATGCCACTGCACTTGAACTCCAAAGCAGGTTCTGTCGCCCCAGCTTTCCTTTATTCACTACTGTCAGTCTCTCACTGCTGTTTTTCTTCTTCAGAGCCTTGACCTTTGCCACACTGGAAACTTCTTCCCCCAGATGCCCCCACCATCCCTTTTGCTGCTCCAGGCTCACCTGAGTAGACTGCCTGGCTGTTTCTGCCAGTCTTTCCCCTTAACTCATTATTCCATTCCTGTCCTGGGCCCCACCTCGGCTGCCCTGGTGCTCTGAGGTCCCTACCACTGTGTGAACTTGCGTCTTTGCCCAAGGCTCTAAACTCCATTTTGCATTTCTTCTCCCAGCCTCTTTGGACTGAGGGATGGAATGTGTCCACCACCACCTTGAGAGACCTCTCACTGAGTTTGGGAGACCCTGGTGGCCGCAGTAATCCGCTTTATTTTCCAGTCTAGAAACTCTGCTAAACTCCCTCCACCCTGTGAAAATTAATACCAGAGCTAATTCAGGAAATCTAGAACTAAATTAACCCTTTTTCTCCTTGCAAACAGTCTAAATTAGTTTGACCCAAATAATTTGGATAATTCATATATTCTGCCCCTTGCTTATAGGTACTCAGGCCAGAAATCAGTTATGTCATGGGGTCTGGAATCATAGAATTTCAGCCAGATCGATCTCATTGTTTTATGAACCTATGTTCCCACCCCCTTATTTTTATTGCATTTGGGAGCTGAGAGGGAGCCTCCCTTTTTAAAAGGGAGATAGTTAAAAATAACTAATAAGCAGCTTGGGTCATTAAAGTGTAGTCTGCCAGGGCTGGGGCCTTTCTCTCTGCTCTTTTGCCTGCTTATCTGACTGCCTGGGATTGGTTGGAACCACACTCCTGGGTCCATGTCAGGGCCTAAGGCCTCCCTTTCTCTCCTCCCCACACCCTGCACACCCTTTCCTGGAATGTTTAGATTTCTGTGAATTAGAGAGCCACAGGTCAGGCCCTACTGCCTTCTCAGAAGGGTAGTGGAGCCTGAGAGACCCGGTCTTCCTAAAGCTGTGCCTGAGGGCCCCAGGCCTGAACCAAGTGGAGGTAATTCCTACCGCCATTCCTGCAGCCGCAGGCAGGCCTTCACGGTGACTCACCGGCTACAGTCTGAGTGAGAGTCTGCACAGGAAGGGGCCAAAAAGGATCCTTGCTGAGTTCAGCACTGTGAAGAGGGGGAGGGGGCTGCTTTCTGGGCTCAGCCCCAGAAAAGGGAGGGTCAAAATGGCCTTAGAATCCTGGGCCCAAGTCCTTCTCCATTTCTTTCTCCTTTCCAGTGTGAGATAAACAGGAACTGGAGCCTGGCTAAGGGGAGGGGCATGCCTGGGAGGACTGCAGGGTCACTTCTGGAGGGTTGAGTCAGGAAAAAAAGCCGAGCCAGTGACCTGCACAGCCCCAACTGGGGATGTTGGCAGAGGTTCTGAGGCCTTCCCTTACCCTGCCTCCGCCTGTCCTAGGTCTGTTCTCAGAGCGATGGGCCTTGGAGACTGAGCTGCCGCCATGATAGGAGGCTTATTCAT